GAAATGGAAATGATGATGAAATAGTGAAGGGAGGCTCTCTATTTATAGAAAATGGAGACTGTTGGATTGGCACCAAGTGACGAAATTTAGTAAGTAGAGAGAAAATCAATAAAAAAAGTGAGATGTGACAATTGACGGACGTGACTAACGGATGAACGATGTGACGTGATGGTAGCTTGAAAACCAATGGTACGTCACCCAAACGATGGGGGCACGTCGCCCAACTAACAATGCCCACCGCCCAAAGGTAATGCACGATGCTCAAGGGGGCAAAACTCATTGCCCGAGGCAACGTATGCTGCCTCAACCAGCCACGCACTGCAAGCCTACGGCATGGATGGCACGCGCACAAGGCGCATGGAGCTGCGCCTGTCTCCACACAATTGGATGTGCATGCAAACCGTGCCTTGCTTCCTGCCCCATGCACGTGAGCAGGATCATTCCTACTAGCATTCTCGCTAGATTTTTCTACCTTTTTCTCCATTTTTTTCCCTGAAAGCTTTTTAAATAATATATAAAATATAATTTTCCTACAATAAAATAAAATAATTAATTTCAAAAATTATTTAAAAGAATAAAATATGAAATACGATATTCGTCTAGAAAATTAAAATTACAAAATATTAAGAAGTTTTAAACAGCATTAAAGCTCGAATAAATAGGGGTTCACATTATAAATTAAGTGCGAAGATTTTTGGGGTGTTACATCTCTTCTCACGAATTTGCGCCACTTGACGGAAATCCATCAGTTGCCTTTTTCTATAAATAGGGACCTCCTCTACCACTCCTTTATCACTTCACTTTCATTCTTCCATTTATTAAAGAAAATCTTAAAGAGAGATAGAGTTAGAGAGAGAATGAGAGAAAAGAAGGAAGAAGAGCTAGGAAAGACTTCAAGCTTCCAATAAGGAATTTTAGTATTTAATTTGCATGTTTTAAGGAGTATTTCTAGATTAATAAAGAAATATTACTTGAGTATAAAATGGTTTGATTATGTGTTTAATAACTGCCATGTCTTAACTATGTTTACATAAATGATGTTGCATGATTTGTCATTATAACAAGTGAATAAATAAATATGACAATTATGATGACATGATAAGAGATAATGAAGCATGATATTATTTGACGAACATGTGAAAGGATTATGGTTATTTGCATGCATGGTATTTAAATTAATATGATCTGTTAGGCTTTTTATCTATGAGGAGTTCTGTTTCTCCCCCATCTGCTCTAAAAAGATATGAGAGGGCTGCTTCATGTGTATGACAACATACCCTCTTATGAGAGTGGTGATGCAATATAATTGTAGGGGTCAACTTTGGCGACGTACAGCCATGACTATAGTTGATATGTAGGACCACTGTAGTTAGCACAATCGTGGTCATATAACGTGTCATGATTTGACAAGCCCTAAATGTGTTGTGGTTTAGCAAGCCATAAATATGTTGAAAATGATATAAAATGAAATAGTTATTCCACAGTAGTAGTCAAGAATCCGTATTGCCCTTAGTAGATAGAGGTCAGAACGGCTTCGCACGAAGAATAAGTAAAATGAAATAAAAGAATGTTATAATATGATTTGTTTGATTTTCTCTATTTATATGACATAATTATATGATTGATACAATTAATTTGATGTTGACATTTTTTTAAATAAATTATAATGTTTTCTTTATTATTAAAATGACCCCACTTGCACATTCTTCGATGGTAAGTAGATAAGGTATTATTTTAAGTTAATTACCTTTGAAATCTTAATAATGTCATTTAAATATTATTTTTCTTACGGAGTATGTGGAACTTACCTATTTTCATGATCCCTTTTTAGATGAGAACAATAGCGATGAGCCGCTTGTTGACTTACCCATTGAAGCCTATGAGGATCTCATGGATCCACGAACCATTACGAGTACATATTTTGTCTCACTCTGATGAGTCTAACTTTTGAAGAGGCTCGTATTTATTTTTATTTCACCTTAGTACTATAAATTTTGAAACTCAAACTTATTTTTGTAAGGGATTTGTAATATATTCTATTTTGTTGCATATAATTATTTTAAATGCTCGTATTTGTTTCTATATCTGGCACCTTTATGCTTTAATTAGTATTTGGGATGTCAAAAATCACCTCTATAAAGTTTGTCCTACAGTCTAGTTGCTCAACAATGTCTCTAACTTGATCTCCAAAAACATAAAAAAAGGTTTCGATGTGATCATGGATGGCCCTAAAATAGTTCTAAAGATGAAATCCCGCATAAGGAAGGAACTCCATGAAAATCCGAACTCCTATAAAATAATTACTCACGAGTCTGTTGCACATGAGATCCTACCCATGCAGTACAACAGACGAGTATGCATAGGCATAGAAAAAGGTGAAATCCTTTTTCTGCAAGGATTCCCATAGGTCCCGTCCCAAACAAGTAAGCAATTCCATAACTCTTTTGTTTTCTAAATAGGATTGGCTTAAAACAGAAAAGTAAATTTCAGTTTCCTAAGTGGGAACACCTTGAACAGGAAAGTAAATCCCAGTTTCTTAAACAGGAACACCATGAACATGAAAGTAACTTCATCCCTAACTGTTTTCTCAAATGGGACTTTTCTAAGGAGTGGGCCAAGTTTATCCAAAGGATGTTTGAAGCCCAAGTCATGTTTCATGAGCTTGGAGAAGTTACAAGGCAAGAAAAAAAACCCATTTGTGGCCCAACCCAAGGTAGCCTAAAGACCTCATGGCCAAAGTGGGCCAAGACCCAAAAGAGAATGACAGATAGCATGTATTGCGCATGTGACATCCCTTGGGCACATGTGCGGGCAACCACATGTGCAAAAGAGCCTACCCGCACATGCAGGTCCATCGCCCGCGTGAGGCAACATGCGAGGCATGCAAGCAAACAACTCTGCATGCCCGGTCCAAGCCCACACAGCAACAACCCACACGATTCGGGCCCAATTTGAATGACCTATGCGATCCAGGCTCAACTCGAGTAGCCCGCGTACAAAAAGCAAACTCGCACAGCCCATCTACGCGACTCGCAGCCCAACCCATACGACCCGCGGCCTGATTTATACAACCTACGACCCACGGCCTAACCCATACATAAATTGGCCCATGTGTGCAATTTGTTTTTCTTAGCCCTTTTTAGACTCCAAAAATTCAACTTTTCCTATTTCTATAAGGTATTTAAGTTTATTTATTTTTTCATATACAAAGTATGCTAATTATGAAGGTGGAATTCTACTCAAGGTTGAAGAAAAGATATCATTGAAGAATTAGGAAGAGAATACCATTATTTAATTAATTATTAATTTAAGGTTTGAATAAGGATATTTATTTATTTTATGTATTTAAATTCAAAATTAGGGAATAAGGATAGATATTTATTTTCTGTATTTAAATTCAAAATTATGATAGAATTTTATTATTTAATTAATTAGGTATTTTTTTCAATTAAATTAGAAATTAGAATATGGATAGGAATTCTAAATCATATTCCCTATAGAAGTAGTAATTAAGAGTTTATATAAAGGCCTTAGCTCAAGCGTTGTAAATACAATCTTTTGAGAATTAATAAAATTGAGCTTTGAGCTTTTATTAGTCTTGTACTAAGTTCTCTTCAAGTTCTTCCAAGCTAGGTAAACTTGCCAAAATCTTGATTAAGCCAAGGAGCTAGGATTGACTTATCAAGTAAGTCTGTTGCATCTTTCTTTTTCTCGTTTTTGTTTTCTAGTTTTTGCTATTACTTTCTTAATTTTAGGATTGTAATTTCAATTAGAATGAGGGGTTTTAATTAATTTGTTTGAGTTTTGATATTGCATGTGATTAGGTTAAGGTTCTGGTAATCAAAACGAACCTCCTCATACCCTCCCACATAAGGTTTAGTAGAAACCTTCAAACAAATAAAAAGAAAAAGTAAACTTTTATCTTATGGATCAATTGGCTAAATGGACTTGTAATTTTTGGACCAAGTTGAACTCAAACTCGAGCTTAAAGAAGACAAATTCACAGTTAATAATCACATCCTTGGCGAGTGCAGAAGCATGTCAATTATTTGGTTGCTATTCATATTTGATGAAAAGAGAAATATATCAATTATAAAAGGAAATCCACCTTTAATGAAAGCTTAGACTAATAAGTCCTGTTTAGATTTAGGTAAAGTATCATAATAGAGACAATTATGTTGCATAATTTTTTGACTTAGGCAAATCAACGAGTGAAAAGAAAATAAAAAAGGTTGGCAATTAGTTTTCATGGGGGAAGGAAGAAAAAGATAACTGTTGTATGTTTTGTGTTAATCATTGTTTTTTTTGTTGCAATATTTATTAATGTTAAATGAGTCACTTGTTGTTTGAATATGTATAAAAATTAGCAAATAAAAAAAAATATTCTTTTTGTTTCATTCATCATCAACATTATTACTATATGTTTATTTCTTGTAAGAATTTTTTCTTTATCTCTCGTACATTTAGAGAGGATTGTAGATCGAGTTTTTAACTTTCACGAGTTTACTTTGTGTTAAATGAATTGGATGATGCAATGCAAAACATTGTTTATTTCAAATTAGGTTAGTTTTTAATAGATGTGATTTTCACATGATAATTATGTGGTGTTATCATGAACTGCAATGTTAATTTTAATATCATTATTAATAAAAAGATCAAAGTAGAAAAAAGTTAAAAAAAAGTTATAAATTTAATTAATAATGAAAAAGTTAAGAGTCTGAATTAAAAAATACATAAAATAAGAGATTTTTGCAATTAAGCTGCTTTATTTATTTTTTTTTGGAATGGCAAAAATTAAAGAATGACCTGGTTTGACTTATGAATAAGATTATTGACTGTTAGTTTAAACTATTCTGGACTTGGGTGTTTGGTCATTGGTGCCTAATTCTGCCAATGTCAACCAATAATACCGTCAAAAATTAAATTACTAAATGGTAACCAAACTTTTTCAGAAGTTCAAAAAAGAGGAAAAAATAAAATAAATAAAATGAAGAGAAAAGAGCAATCAAACTACCTCTGCTGTGTATGTAGTTAGAAACCATTTCTTGCGTTACAAAATACAATTCATCTTCCATTGTTGTCCTGTTGCAGTTGCTCCTCTTATAAATTCAATCAACAGTTCATCATCTCCATTTTATAAACAACTAATCCAAACCCGACAACGCCAAAAAAACCCTCCACAAAACCCTTTCCATCGTCATAAATGGGGGAAACCAAGATTAAAAGAGGACGAAAAACCAAAACCCCTAAATCTACCGAAACCCTAGATCTCCCTTCCACCACTTCAATGGACGATGTTTTCTCTGTTTCCAATGTTGAAATCGTCAACCCCACCGTGACCTCCACTTCCACGTCTCCTTCTGACAGCCGCGATGGTCGCCGACGTGGTCGCTCCCGAAAACGCGCCAGGCGTTCCCTTGAGAAGCCCGAGAAACCCCCACCGTTGATACCACCACAACCTCCAGCAGCCGTCGTTTCGTCGCCTCGCCGCATTTCACGTGGCTCCCTTGAGAACGGGGATTTATTGGCCTCCGTGATCCCCGCGGATACCACTGTGTTAGCTGGGCGAGCTGCGAGGGCGTTGCCCGCAATGGACGCCGTTGTGAAGGTGTTTTGCGTGCACACTGAGCCGAACTTCTCGCTGCCGTGGCAGAGGAAGCGGCAGTACAGCTCGAGCAGTAGTGGTTTTGTAATCGGAGGAAGGCGAGTACTCACAAATGCGCACTCTGTAGAGCATTACACGCAGGTTAAGCTCAAGAAGCGTGGCTCCGATACCAAGTATTTGGCCACTGTGCTTGCTATTGGGACGGAATGCGATATTGGTAACTATGACTACCTCTCGGTTAATCGGCTTTTGCTTTGTTAGCAATCATAAGACGATTATTCTTTTTTACTAAATTTTTAATCCTGGAATTTCTGTTTCGTGTTGAAAACTTGTGGCTCATCTATTCATGTGTTTGCTTGCCATGCATTTTTTAGATTACCATGTAACAGAAACTGAAAAAATCTTTCTCGAGAAAGAAAGACATGACTTTTTTTAGCCTAGCTTCAGTTTCTAAGGGGATTTCGAGTTGTTAATTTGATGAAACTATGTGTCTTAGTTTCATTCTTGGATGAGGTACTAGCAGATATTAACTGTCCTTGGGGGTAGAATTTGAATAACTTATTTCATGAGTGCCTTCTCCTTATATATGGGTTTTGCAAAAATGAAAACTCAATATGCAGGTAAAAGCCATGAAATATGAGCATCAAAAGCTGAGTGCTAATTCTCTAAGATTGTTGGTTTTAGGAAATTAATGAAAAAGGAAAAGGAATGCAATTGGTTCTAGAGTTCAAATGGGAGATGTTTAGATGATGCGAGGGTGTAGAGTAACCTGGTTAAATCTTCACGTTATGGAGTGGAGCTCTAGATTTTTGGTTTACATACTGTGATTGGATTCTTGATGGTGAATAGAAGCAGTCCTCCAATTTGAGAAATACTTTTGTTTTTGTATTTAATTATTTTCGAGTTAAATTATGTTTTTATAAGTTAATTTGTGATAAGATTTCGAATCTTTAATAGTGGTATTATTAATATTTATTCTTTTGAAAAATTCTTAGCTAATACTACTTGGGAAAAGTTATGTAGGACTCTATAAATATCTTTGTTGAGATTTTTATCAATCAATACAAATTATCCTAAGAACTTTCTCAATGTCATGGTTGTATAATTCAATCAATCTTGAACTGTTATGCTTAAGAATCATAGATGTGACATCTAGGCTACTCAAATCCTTACATAGGCAAACAAATCATTGATATCAATTAGTATTAGAGTTCAAAGCTCCTATTTCTTAAATAAAAAAAAAAAAAACTCAAAGTCCCCTCATCCAAACAACACTAATTATATGAAAAAAAATTGCAAACCCCTAAATCTACAAACCAATTGCCAACTTAGACCACCATTAGCAATTAGGAGGTGACTGAAACAGCCAACATTGAAGAGCATGGAATGCCCTGACTGACACATTGCCAGAGTCCTCCGAGATCCTAATGGAAATACGCCACTCAACTCTTAAAGACCGAAGCACTATGTCTCCAAGATTATTGCAGCCACATAAGAACAAATTGACCTCTGATCTCTAAACCCCATTACTAGGCAAGTTGACAACAGAGTCCTGACACCATCTGTTGAACGGAAGCTAGCACATAACCTTTCAAATTGCTGTTTGACCTATTCTACCCGACTTCATGTTCAGATTGGTTGAATTAGACGGTTGACCTATTTGTATATGTTTAGATAAGTTCTCTCCCCCTTCAAAATGCACTGTTTCAGTTTATGGTTTATTTGGAGATTGGGCTAAAACGGTGATAAATGCTGATTTAAATAATCAAGTAGATAGTTTGAATGCCAAACTAGATGTTTTGGATGTCAAAATAGATGGATTTGAAAATTCTACACCTATAATTCAAAATACAATTAATACAATTGTAAAGAGCTTTGGAACTTCCAGATTATACAAACTGGATGATAATCCAAGTTGTTAAAACCAACCAATTGAAACAATCCTATTTGTAGGAGACAATTTGAAAACAATGCAAGAGACATTATTAAGAAAGTGACATCAAAGTGTCCAATTTCTTCCTTGATTGGTTTAATTTAATGGGAGAATGTTTTAATTGGTACGACATGTCAGATGCATGAAGTATCCAATTTGCCAAGACGAAGTTGGTTGGATTTGCTAAATTATTGTGGTATAGCATTGACATGGAGTTAACAAAAATAGGACTCCTCCAATTGAAATTGGGACAAGATAAAGGCTTTTGCAATTGAAAAATTTAGGAAAAAACAATTAAAACATACATCTTCAAAGACAAAATCTCTAAAAGCAAGATAGTGCTTTAGAAAAAAGTGACCTATAAAACACTTGCTGCATAGTCAATAACTACACTCCATGAAAAATATATGCCAAATAACTATCTTGACAAGATTTGTGATAAAGCATGAACCTCAGCACAATGCAATATGTCAATGAGTATAAAAGAAAATTTGGAGAACGAAAAATACAAAGTCAACTAATTGAATGTGATAGCCAAGTGATAGCTCAAATCAAGGCAAGAACAAGGATCAAAATTAAAACAGAATTACTACGACAACTTGCTGCCACCCTGGAGTAAAGATACCAAGTTGCCATGCACATGGAGGAGTACCTGAGATGCACTTCTTCAATGAATATTGGGTTCTCAATTTGTGAATTGATGTATAAGAGAAGCCTAGGAGCAAACTATGACACAAGAGCAACCTCTACAAAACAAATGTCCGACTTCGTCTATTGTTGCAGGCTTAGCTTCTAACATACTCAATGTCAGAGGCAAACAAATAATATGCTTCAGGTGTGGAAAGTTAAGCTATATGGGTTTTCAATGCCTAAAGAAAAAATAATTTGCATATAAGATCAAAAGATGAAGAACAAATACATGAAAGAGAGGAGGGTTAGGCCCTATTTGAAAGTGAAGACTTATTTGATGATTGGTGCAAAAACACCTCCCTAATATAAATAGTTAGGTGCATCCCGGTGGCACGTAAAGTTTAATATAATTTGCATCGTACTACCATATTTTAAAAACTAGTCATATGAGGAAGAAAGGCTAAAAAAATTTTTATTGATGGGAGAAGTTGCAAAAATGTACTATTGGTGTCAATTACAATGTCTAGTTTCAATCTTCAAACACAACCACGTTTACGAGTATAGAAGGTAGCCAACATAACAATCATTTGTTTCTTTTCAGTGTGGTATTTGTTTTTGAATAAAAAGTGTAAATCTATTAAAAAAAGCACCTAGGGGGTGCTACCCATATACAAAAATATTACATGTTTGTTAAGCAATCAATCATGTACCCAAAATGTTCCACCTTGTTCATATCATGCCCCAACACTAACGCTCCGAACAAATGAAACCATCTATCTCTAATTCTCCCCATATCACTTTCTACTCCATCAAAAGCCCTCCTATTTCTTTATTTTCAAATAACCCAAAAAATAGTCAACGAAATTAGACAAGAATTTACCATTCCTACCCATCCCTTGCCACAGCCAAATCTCCTCTCTAACAGACCCAGTCCTCACCCATTATACTGCCAACAACCCGTAGATCATAGACCAAATATGTTGAACACCCGGGCAATGCAATAGTAGGTAATCACATGTCTCAGCTTGGCTTTTATACATATAGCAACAGTTAACCATCACATGACCTCTTTTCATCAAGCAATCAATAATTAAAATGGCACTCCTACTGGCTTCCCATGCAAAGAAAGCAATCTTAAGTGGAGCATTACTCTTCTGTATTTGTTTTCCCGGGAAAAGGATAAAAATGTCTTCATCTAAACCCAACAAGATTTCATAATATGATTTGACTGAGAACACTCCATTCTTTTTAGGTTTCCAAATCAGCTTGTCCTCATCTCTCAATACACATGTTTTTTAGTGTGGTATTTGTAGTGATATTATCTTATTTTATGTTCTTATTCAAATGATTTACATCCTCCTTGGTTGACTTTGTCTCGTTGACCAAATATGTATCATACTAGGATAGAGAATAGTGGAATACTTTTTCTATCTCAATTGAAAAAAAGGACACAACTTATGTGTGTAATAGATATAAAAATTATGGGGAAGGCAAATATGCAGAGTTTTCCACTAGTGGCAAAAATAGAATTAGCTCAGAGATGAGTGAAAGACAACATTCAAAATCGAGGATGGTCCATATGAATGGTAATTTTGGTAATTTTCACATCTCTAATGCCCGAAGTACCTTAATGTGTTTCGTGTACTTCCCCAGCTTTTAATAGATAATCGCTTGTTGCCTACTTCAATGATATTCTTACTTTTAGCAAGGTTGAAGAACACATCTTCCACTTATCTTCATAAGGAAAAACTTAATATTAATCTCAAGAAATGTGCATTCACAACCATAGGTGTTGTGTTCTTAGGATCCTTTGTCTCCTCTAAAGGTGTAAAGCTTAAATTAAGAAAAGGTTAAAGCTATTCAAAAATTGCCAACTTCAAAATCTTACATGAATGTGAAACTTCCATGACAACTTTTTTGAAATAAAAGCAGAGGGTACTCTTTCCCTCCCCTGATTTGGAAAGCTAATCTTCCTCTGAGCATCTTTTTTTGGCTGGGAGGCTTGCTGGGAATGCATTCTGACTCTTGATAGATTACAAAAAAGGTTAGCAAATCGCTGTTTTATGTGCAGGTAGGTAGCGGAGTCCTGCTGCCCCCTCCTTCTTAGCTGCCTAGTGGTGCATGAGTTGTGGTGTATGATTTATAACTTACTGAGTATCTTTTGGGCCTCTTCAGGTTCAGTGATGATAGAAGTTTGGGCATGAGGTGGGATTCACTCCACAAAGAATGTTGTAAAGATTTTTCGTTTGACTATTTTTTGGGTTATTTGGAAAGAAAGAAATTAGAGAGCTTTTGAGGGTGTAGAAGTTGATAGATACAAACTTAGAGATAGGTGGTTTAAGTATTTTGGGTCTTGCATATTGGGGCATGACATTACTAGGGATGAAGATTTTGGGGATGTCATTGATACCCTTACGTCTTTATAAATTCCTTTGTATGCAGGCAGTACCCCCTTTGCTGCAATTCTAATTTTATTCTAACTTTTTCTTTCAAAAAAAAAAAGAGAAATTTATTCATAAAAAATACCAAGGAGGTACAACCCGTATACAAATAGTTACATTTCTATCACTGTTCATGACTAATCCTATGTCTTCCCAATCATGTACATTATGACCTAACAAGATAGAATCAAAGTATGAACTATTTATCCGTAA